TGTCATATATATCTAGGTCCGGTTCACAGGCATAATGATGACTCTCATACACAAACACAACCAATAGAAAAGATTTTGACTCTTCTCACTGGGTTTGTGACAATGTATCAAGTCTTCGTCTCCTACTTTTGGAAAGATCACAAAGTATTAGGAAACTTATGCATATTCTATAATGCCCTTTGGTGGTACAGAGACTGATTGTCATTACAGGACCCAGCACACAGCCAACAGTTAAAATTTTCAGTCTCATACATGGACAAAGCCCACTGTTAATGTCCTGAATCTCACTCATAGACACAGTCTGCAGTTGGAATTTTGACTGTTATATGTGGATCTGGCCACAGGTAAAATGGTGACTCATTGCTGGAGCTAGCTCACAGGCATGGTAATGACTCTCATATCTAAACCAGTCAATAGAAGAGATGTTGAATCTCATCCTTAGGCTTGGAGCAACAAGTAAGGTCATGGGTTTATATAAAGCAAAAAGACTTCAGAGTGGATTACAAGTCTCAAACATATTATTAAAAGCCGCAGATGGTGCAAATAATAATATAACAAAGCCCAGTACACTGTTGAAGATTTGACTCTCATTGCATACACTGTCAACAGTAAAGATTTTCACACTTCCATATGGACACAGCCCACTGTTGAATTTCTGAATTTCATATCCAAAGGCAGTCAAAAAGCTGGTATTATTACTCTTACATGTGGATCCAGCCTTTAGGTGAGATAATGAGTCTTTGACCAAGATTCAGCAAATATATTAGGCTCTGACTCTCTTAATGTGTGTTTTCTGAGTTTGAGGCTTTCATGCATGGATCCAATTTACTGTTGAAATCATGACTTTGCATATTGGATACATGAGGTATGCAAAAGCTTATGAGGTGCATGCTCGTATACCTAGACCCAGAACATGTGCAGGAATGTAAATTCTATCACCAGACCTTCCCACAGGTGTGAATGTGATGTATACTTTTGCTCAGCCAGAACTTGACTAATTTGAATATACTGCCTGAATAAAGCCCACAATTTGGATTGTGACATATACCTAAGCCAATAACCTTGGTATTGTGGCCCTCTTGCCTAGTCCCTTCTCACAAGTAGCATTGTGTTATACCAGGTCCCATTCCCAAAGGGGATTTTGACATATTGATGAGTCCAGCATTTATGTGATGTAATCCTTCAGCCTGTGTTCTGCTCACAGGAGACTTTGTGACACATCCCTGGTCCCAGCACCACAGTGATGTGACTTTCCTACCAGAACTCAACTCACAGTGGGGATACAAATATACCCTTGACTCAGTACTCAGGTGATGTGACTCTCCTGCCTGCTTCTGACCACAGATAGGATTGTGACATATAACTGTCATATGACAGCCCGGCCAAAAGAAGAGACTTTGACTCTCATAGTTAAGCTTAGAACAATCAGTAAGGTTCTGGGCCTCCTGATTGTATAAAGACTACAGAGGACTATGACACTCATGAATATTGTATAAATACTTGGGTCTTATCAGAGTTCATTATAGAGGTAAAATTTTGCCTCTTAGAGGCACAGTATCCAACAACTGGGATTGCCACTCTCACACATGGACAAAGTCCACTGGTGAGGTCCTGAATCTCACATGTGCAAACAGTCCATGGTAAGAATTAGAACTGTCCTATGTGGATCTGGCAACAGTTTGGAAGGTAACTCATTTCTGGACCCAGCTCATAGACATGTCAATGTCTCCCATGCCTGGTTCCAGACAATAGAAGAGATGTTGACTCTTGTATCAAGGCTTATGGCAACAGATAGGATCCTGGGCTTCCCACTTTTACAGAGGTCTCAGAGAACTACAACTCTCATGAGTACTGTATATTGCCCTAAAGTTGTACAGAGAGTGTTAAAACAGGGCCCAGCTCAAAATTCTGATTGTGACCCTTTTATGCACACAGAGCCCCCAGTTAGGATTAAATGTGAACAGAACCCACTCATGAGGTCCTGGATCTCACTCACAGAAACAGTTCACAGTTGGAATTGTGACTGTCATATCTGGATCCATCCACAAATGGGATGGTGCCTCGTTTTTGGACCCAGCTCACAGGCACACTGATGATTCTCATACCTGGATCCAGCAAATAGGACTGGTGTGGACTCTCATGCCTGAATTTAGGGCAACATTTAGGATCATGGGTTTATACCATCATGAAGGTCCCAGAACAGGATTCGTTGTCATGCATACCATATGAAGCCCTTAAATGGCACTGAGGGTGTCTTATAAAAGTCCAGCACACAGGTGACATTGTGACTCTTCTATGTACACACAACATACAGTGAGGAATGGCATCTTCCCATATGGACACAGCCCATTGTTGAGATTCTGAATAACACACCCAGATCAGTTGAAAGTTGATAATGTGACTCTCATACATGGAGCCAGTTCACAGGAGAAATGGTGACTTTTATATCAAAACTCAGCACACTTGTGAGGCAGTGACTGCCCTAATTAGACAGTGTTTGCAGATGAGGTTGAAGTTTTCATGCATGAACTCTGTTCACCATTGAGACTGTGATTTGTGTACTTTAACATAATTCACAGAAGGTGTTGTCTCTTACACCTTGAACTAGAAAATATGTGAGACTGTGAGTATCATCTGTGGACTTTCCTGCAGGTGTGACTTTGACATACAATATTTTCTCATCACCTGATTGCCTTTATTCCCTTGCATGAGCCCTGCCAACAGTTGGGATCATGACATATACCTGACCCAAACACCTAGGAGATTTGACTGTGCTGCCTGCATCCTGCTCCCAACGGCCATTGTAATGTGTCTCTGAGCACGTCACCTAGGTGATGAGACTCTACATTCCTTCCTGTACCCTGCCTCCAATAACAGAAATCTTGGTATATTATCTTCGTGACATGACTCTCCTCTCATGACTGGGCCCTGTGAAAAGGGGGGATTGTGACATATAGCTGGGCCCAGCACTGAGGTGATATGACTCTTTTGACTGGGTTCTACCTGCATTGGGGATTGTGACATATCACTGAGCCTAACACAAATGTGATATGACTTTCCTGTATGGGTCCTGCCTATGGAGAGATAATGATATTTCCCTGGCTCAGCATTCAGGTGATGTGACTTTCCTCCCTGGCTCTGCTCACAGGTAAAGTTGTGACCTATACCTAGGCCCCGGCAATAGTCATAATAATGGCTTTCTTACATGGACCCAGCCAATAGGAGAAATGTTGACTCTAATAGCTAGGCTTAGGGCAACAACTAAGGTCCTTGGTCTTATAATTCTAAAAATGTCACAGAAGATTATGACACTCACATGTATTTCATAAAGCCTTGGGGTGTATAGAAAGTTACATAACAGGGCCCAGCAAACAGTGAACTTGTGATTCTCATAAACACGTGTAGCCAACAATTAAGATCGTCACCTTCATACATGGACAGAGTCCACTAGTGAGATTCTAAATCTCACACATGGATGCAGTTCACAATTGAAATTGTGACCATTATATGAAGATCTGGCCTCAGGCTGGATGATGTTTAAACTTCCCCTTGTAATTTTTCTTAGAGCAACGTAATTTTCCATTTTGGCCAAGGATAATTTTTTTTCAGACAAAGTCATGATTGTGGAGAAACATTGATTTAGATATATGGAATCTGTTTCCTTTTTAATAGAGCATCAACAAATAGAGCATTACATATTTATCTTACCTAAGTTGTTCTCTTTCAAAAAGATTAATAAAACATCTGAAATTTTCTCGATTTATCCAAAATATATAAATATGCTTAAAACAATTTTCCAAAACAACTGGTTTTTGCCAAGATTCAAAAAGCCCCAGAATGTCTTACCCAAAACAATCAACTAAAAATTGTCAACTAAAAATTAAGCGATAGTGCTCAAGCGTAATGTTTTGTTTTCTGTGTTTTAGAGATGAGGCCTCACTATGTTGCCCAGGCTGGAGTGCAGCAGCTAGTCAAAAACACAATCATGGTGCATTACAGCCTGGGCTCAAAGGGTCCTCCTGACTTAGCTTCCTGAGCGTTGGGACTAAAGTGACATGTCACCACACCTGGCTATGTTTTTAAAAACTACCTTTATGCTATCGCACATTTTTGGACATTGGGAAGCAAATATATTTTGACTCTCAAGAAAAAAGTACTTGGTGGCACATTAAAGAATGAGTGAATGAGTTTACAAAACACAAGAGGCAGGGTACAGTTATTCCAAAACGATAGGCTACATCGTGCCTTTGCATTTGTTTGAAGAGAAATAAAATGTTTCCGCTCAAGTTTTAAGTGCCAAAATAGCTAATTACTGTTAAAATGTCACCAAAATTAGTAACATTACTCAGGAAATCAACTATCTCCAACAGAAACAATTTCAGTTACCTTTTACAAGAACTATGTTGTAACTTTTATTTCTAAGGGTCTTATATCTCCTCGGTATTATCACAAACCACCTTGTTAGATTTCAAATTAACTAATTCTAACCCAACCCGAATTAAAAATTGCTCACATTCCAAAGCAAGAAATAGTACTGCAGGCCGGGCACAGTGGCTCACGCCTGTAATCCCAGCACTTTGGGAGGCCAAGGTGGGCGGATCACCTGAGGTCAGGAGTTGGAGACCAGCCTGACCAACATGGAGAAACACCATCTCCACTAAAAAAACAAAAATTATCTGGGTGTGGTCCTGCATGCCTGTAATCCCAGCTACTTGGGAGGCTGAGGCAGGAGAATAGCTTGAACCCGTGAGCTGGAGATTGCAGTGAGCCAAGACAGTGCCATTGCACTTCAGCCTGGGCAACAAGAGTGAGATTCCATCTCAAAAAAAAATAAAAAAAAATAAACTACTGCACATTACACTCAAATTTGAGGAATGTGTGCTTCTCTCCATACCCCAAACTGACAATGCATCTATGAATTACATTCCATTATCTGAATTTATAACACTCAAAGTGCTTATGCTCTTCCACTGAACAAGTACATTAATATACTTGTAGTCTCAAAATACTTCACGAATTCTGAAGGAATTCTCTATGTAGGGAGCTTCCTTAGTGAAATGAATTCAGCTACTCATCAGCATACCAATATCCCCAAGTATCTGAACAAATTTATTTTGCTCCTTTCCAATCCAAGATCTCATTGGATCACTTACCCAAGTGTTCCATGGGTGTGAACAATAATTCTTGTTTGTGCAAATTCGTTCAAGACTTGTGGATAAGTAACCCAAGTATTCCTTCCTCCGAAATGACCACCACCCAGCCAATACATTGTTCTTATGCTTTTAATGAAAGCATTTGTTTTTGTCTTTCTTGGCTTCTTTCAATTCAAAGAAACTGATTCAAAACAACACATTTATTGAATCTAGTCAAAGGAAAACATGCATCATTTAGTGACGGTGGATAAAAACACATGACTGATTGATCAAGGTTTTTCGAAGGTCGTCTCTTTTCCTCCCTGGAAATGATTTGTAGTATGAGAAGAATTGGACATTTACAATGAGATGCTGTGGAGTCCTTACTCCAATCATTCAAATTTTTCTTTGATAAATTACTCTCACTTAAAAGCATTAATAACATATAAATGTGTCTGGTATTGGTGGGTTCTTGGTCTGACTTCAAGAATGAAGCCGCAGACCCTCTCCGGGAGTGTTACAGTTCTTAAAGATGGTGTGTCCGGAGTTTGCTCCTTCAGATGTTCAGATGTGTCTGGAGCTTCTTCCCTCCCGTGGGTTCGTGGTCTGCTGTCAGGAGTGAAGCTGCATACCTTCGTGGTAAGTGTTACAGCTCTTAAAGGCAGCACGTCTGGAGTCCTGGTTCTCCCCGGTGGGTTCCTGGTCTGCCTGGCTTCAGAAGTGAAGCTGCAGGCCTTCTCTGCCGTGAGTGTTACAGCTCACAGCTCACAAAGGCAGCATGGATCCAAAGAGTGAGCAGCAGAAAAATTTACTGCAAAGAGCAGAAAAACAAAGCTTCCACAGCGTGGAAGGGAACCCCAGCGGGTTGCCACTAGCTGGTTCCAGCAGCCTGCTTTTATTCCCTTATCTGGCCCCACCAACATCCTGCTGATTGGTCCATTTTACAGAGAACTGATTGGTCCGTTTTGACAGAGTGCTGATTGGTGCGTTTACAATCCCTGAGCTAGACACAGAGTCACAGAGTGCTAGTCCTCCAAGTCTCCACTAGGTTAGCTAGACACAGAGTATCAATTGGTGCATTCACAAACCCTGAGCTAGACACAGAGTGCTGATTGGTGTACTTACAAACCCTGAGCTAGACACAGAGTGCTAATTGGTGCACATAGGATCCTCCTGCTAGATATAAAAGTTCTCCAAGTCCCCATCCGGTTCAGGAGCCCAGCTGGCTTCACCCAAGGGATCCTTCACTGGGGCTGCAAGCGGAGCTGCCTGCCAGTCCCGAGCCGCGCCTGCACTCCTCAGCCCTTGGGCTGTCGATGGGACCGGCCGCCACAGAGCAGGGTAACGGCGCCGGTAAGGGAGGCTCAGGCAGGGCGGGAGCCCACCGCAGAGGGGGAGCTCAGACATGGCGCGCTGCAGGTCCCCAGCCCTGCCCCGCGGGGAAGCAGCTAAGGCCCGGCGATAATTTTGAGTGCCGCGCAGGCAGGCCGGCACTGCTGGAGGACCCGGCGCAACCTCCGCAGCTGCTGGCCCTGGTCCTAAGCCTCTCACTGCCCTGGGCCGGGGGTGCCTGCCGGCCGCTCCGTGTGCGGGCCGGCCGAGCCCGCGCTGGCACCCGCGCCCACCGGAACTCGCACTGGCCCGCGAGCACAGCCCCGGTTCCCGCCCGCTCCTCTCCCTCCACACCTCCGGGCAAACAAAGGGAGGAGGCTCCGGCCTCAGCCAGCCCAGAGAGGGGCTCCCACGGTGCCGTGGCGGGCTGAAGGGCTCCTCAAGCGTCGCCAGAGTGGACGCGGAGAGTGGAGGTCGAGGAGGCGCTGAGAGTGAGGGCTGCTAGCACATTGTCACCTCTCATAAAGGTGCTTAAAAGCTGCAGATTCTGTATTGCCTTCTGGGAAACCAAACATGTTACTTTTCAGAAAACTATCATGGCAGCTGAATTTGTGCAAATGTGCTCGGGAGCACTTTATCACCCAAATACAGCTATTGGGGAACCGGTGGGCTAAAATGGCTGCAATAATTTCTAGACTTCAATTTTCCCATTGGTAATTTGCAGGATGACGAGTCATAATTTCACAGTAATCCTGCACATCCCCGGGGAAAGAGAGGACCTGGCGGCTGCAGTTCCTACTCAGCTCGCTTCCTGGAGATGATCGGCCACTCCAGTCCCTCCCTGGTCACCACCAGCAGGAATAACTGCACAGCGCTAGGGTCAGCTCCCGGCAGGGCGGACACGGTCGGCTCCGAGGCGGCGCCCGGTGGCTGAAAGGGAGCTTCGCGCCCAGCTGCTGCCGCTGGGCTCATGGTTCTGTCCTGAGAGAAGGAAGAGGCATCTCCAATTCCAACCTGTGGCAGCAGGAACAGCAACCGCAGTGAACGCAAAACCTGAGCTCGTTATTGGAAGGCAGAGAGTGGAGGGTCCTCAGAAAGGGACTGCACTGAACCGAAGCCGGCATGAAGCATTAAGGTCACCGCGCAGCGCCGGATTTTATTTAGTTATTTATTTATTTAATTAATTTATTTATTTTTTTGAAACGGAGTGTCTCTCTGTTGCCAGCCTGGAGTGTAGTGGCGCGATCTTGGCTCACTGCAACCTCCACCTCCCGGGTTCAAGCGATTCTCCTGCCTCAGTCTCCTGACTAGCTGGAACTACAGGCTTGTGCCACCACGCCCAGCTAATTGTTGTATTTTTAGTAGAAAAGAGGTTTCATCATGTTGACCAAGATGGTCTGATCTCTTGACCTCCTGATCAGCCTACCTCAGCCTCCCAAAGTGCGGATATTTTTTTTTCTTTTGTTAAATCATATTCCATTATGTGTATACACCGTATTCACTTTATCCATTTATTCCTGATGGGCACTAAGATTGATTGCATATCTTGGCTATTGTTAATAGAGGTATGATAAACATGAGAGTGCAGCTATCTCTTCAATATACTAATTTTATTTCCTTTTGATATATACTCAATAATGGAATTGCTGGATTATATGGTAGTTCCATTTTTAGGCTTTTGTTTTGTTTTTGTTTTGAGAAACCTGCATAATTTTCCATGCAGGTTTCTTATAAATAAATAAATCTAAAAATGTGCTAAATTTACAATCACACGAACAGTGTATAAATGTTCCCTTTTCTCCACATCCTCATACAAACCTTGTTATCTTTTGTCTTCTTGATAATAGCCATTCTAAATGTGGTGAGGTACTATTTCATGTCGTTTTGGATTGCATTTTCCAGATGATTAGTGATGTTGAGCATTTCTTTGTGTTTTCTTTGGAAAAATGTCTATTCAAGTTTTTGCTCACTCTTTAATTGGGTTTTTTATTTTTATTGCTGTTGAGTCTGATATATATCTTGGATATTAACTCCCTGCCAGATGCACATATTTTCTTTTTTTTTATAGGTTGTCTTTTCACTCTGTTAATAGATTTCTATGCTGTCCAGAAGCTTTTATTTTATTTTATTGATATTAATGTTTCTGTTTTCTGACTTGATACAGAGGTGTTTTCCTTCAGCTTCACAGGTTAGCTGTCTTCTGTCTCACTACTTTTAAGAGTTTTTCTTCGTTTTGATTTTATGTAATTCAATCATTATTCTTTTTTAAGATTTAGTTTATGTATAATTGACACATAATAATTGTACATATTTATGGGGTACAGTGTGATGTTTCTATGCATGTTTACACTGTACAATGACCCAATCAGGGTAATTTGCATATCTAGCAGTGTAAAAATTTATAATTTATTTGTGCTATTAAAGTTCAAAAATCTCTCTTCTAGCTGTGTTATAATAAACGGTACATTATATTAGCTATAGTCACCCTAGTGGGTAATAGGACACCAAAATTTATTCTCCCTGTCTGTAACTTTGACAAACCTCTCGCCATTCCTTCATCCCATCACTCTCCTAGCCTCTAGTAACCACCATTCAACTCTCTACTTCTATAAGATCCACTTTTTTAGATTTCACATATGAGTGACATCATGTGGTCTTTTTCTTTCTGTGACTGGCTTATTTCACTTAGCATAATGTCCTCTAGGTTCATCCATATTCACATAAATGATAGAAGTTCATTCTGTTGTATGAGTGAACATAATTCCTGTGTGTGTGCACGTGCATGTGTGTGTGTATAACATTTTCTTCATTCTTCTGTAAATAGGCACTTATACACTATTGGTGAGAATTTAAATTGGTACAACCATTAGGAAAAACAGCATGGAGGTTTTTCAAGAAATTATAAATAAAACTACCATATATATGACTCAGCAGTCTCACCACTGGGTATATATCAAAAGGAAATAAAATCAGTATGTCGAAAAGATAATTGCACTCCCATGTTTATTGAAGCAGTATTCACAATAACCAAAATCATTATTTCTTTTAAGTATTTCTTAATTTATCTTTTCTGACACATTACACTCTAAACTTTTATAGGATTCATACCTGGTTTCCAATTTCTGAAAATTATGAGTCACTGATTTTTTTTTGAATATTGCCTTCCTGTTTATATAGTCTAGTAAAACAATTAAGTGTTTTTCATTTCTTCTCATCTAATTTTCATATATATTTGTATTTTGTATTAATTTGCTTTCTAAAATGTATATTACTACATTAATTGTGCTCAGCATTCCAGTTTACTAGTCTTCTCATCAGCTCAGTCTATTTCAATGTGTAATTTGTATGCTGTACATTAAATTGTTTTACCAAATTTTCAACAGTTTATTTTCCTTTTGCCTCTTTTCCAAATATGACTTGACAAGCTCATAGTTTTTTCCACATTATTTTGGTTTCTTGTTTTTTCATTATATTGGCAAACATGTAATTATAAACCTCATAACTGAGTTTTATGTGCCAGATAATTTATCTAATGCTTCACTCTAGTAGCTCATCACCTTGTGAGCAACATAATTTATAGTTTAGCTCTCAAATATAGGAGACATCACACTCCGGATGCCTGCAGGCAGTTTCTCTTTGTTTATTCTATTTGCCTTGTTAGAAGCTGAACAACCCATATGGATCTGACGTCCTTGTGATCAGATGCATCTGAATGAAGCACTGACCACTTAGATCTATACTTCTCTGGACTATAACCTTTATTTACTTCTGGTCCTGAGAAATTTTCATAATTTTCTTTCAACTACATTAGGCATTGTGTGAATTCTTGTAACTTCTTGGTGATTTTAATTACCTGAATTAAGTTTTTAAAGCATGTTATTTTCCTGGAAAGCAGAAATATCAACAGTTGCACACATGAGTAAAATATTTTACCTAGATTTTCTATGGCATAGATCACTACCTCGTGAGAAATTCCAAGTTTCTTCACTAGAAATACCGCTCTCTTCAATAGACCATGTTGTAATAATTTGTAGAATATGATTACTTTTTTACCATTAGAAAATTAATTATGCACAAATTTCTGAAATACTTTACTGCAGTGAATAGTACTTGGTCAGAATTGTTGTTTATTATTGTTTACTTTTAACTTACAGGTAATATGGCTAAAAGTATTTACCTGAATTTAGATCTTTTGGCTTCAGTTGCCATTTTACCTCATTAGCACTTCCCTAACTCCATAAAAAGTATCATTTGAATTTTTAAATTTAGAATTTATTGAAAAGAGTATTTTTAATGTTACAATGTTTTTATTGCAGTTGAAGATATTTTCATTGAATATCTTAAATATGAGGCCCTGGCTAAGTATTCCTTATGTACCAGAAATCAGATTTCTCTGGCACAACTCTATTGCCTGCAATAATATTTATGAAAACTACAAATGCCAGCACACTATTTCAACACTGTACTCAGTTGTTCATATCTAAATATCTAATTAGCTATGAAACAAACCAAATATAAACGCTGAAGATATAGTGCAAATAAACGGATTCCTCAAAAAAGAAAACAATACATGACTAATTTTCTATAATATATCACCCGTTCATTAGTTCTTCAATAATATTTAGGCTATCTCAAGTATAAGAGGGTGTTTTATCTAGTTTCTAAAGGGCATAAACAATGATACCTATAGTCAGATTTATTTTTATCAACTTTTGATGTTTCTTTTGCTGTGTACCTTACTGTGAATATATGGAGACACAGACAAATGTACATTTAAGTCATTAGTGGTTATAAGTTTTGCTTATGTGGCTTTTTGCTTATATGGATGTCATAAATGACAAGATAAAATAAGGAAGCTAGATAAACTCATCTTTGCCCTGTAAACTTTAGTCCACTTACTGCATAACTTGAGTCAATATTTATTAGTTTAAAAAACGTTTTTTAAAATTTGCAAACCAAACTTTATTACACGTTTCTGAATCAAGAAGGGGTAAACTGTGACACAGTTCCTCTGTGTCACAGACTCTTTTGGGGAGATGAGTAGTGCAAAAAATATAATAAAATAAGAGTTTCCAAACTCTATTTTTTTGAAATGCTTGCGTTTTCTTCTACGATTAACCTTCACTCTACAGTCCCTTTTACCCAGGGTCCTGGTACCTAGGTCATCTTTTTAAGGTTTAGTTTCTGGGAAATTTTCAGCAAACCTCTCTCATGCTTTGTCTCAGTTTGTTTTTGTTTCAGAGAAGCTGAATGTCTTCAACTGAGGATGGATTGCCTGTCCCAAGCCTCCGTGTGTACACTGAAGCTGAGGCTGAATAGGAGATTTCACTACCCACCATCCTTCCCCAGGCTAGCTCCTTTTTTCCAACCCATCTTCTGCAACATCTCCTGATATTGGTGGCTGTCAGTAATTTCAGAATGAACAGATGCAGGAGCCCCATCTCTCTAGAATGTTCCTTCATTTCCAATCTGCTCACTATGTTTTCCAGCTCTATCTTTATATTTTAGATTCTTTGATGTCTATTCATGTTCATAATCTATATTCTGTAAACCCTATTTTAGTCATATTTTCTTTAATTATTTACTTATTTCCAACTTATTTTCCTCTTTACTTAGTGGTAGACCAACAAAAGATTCATCTTTCTTATCAAGGCAAAGGTGAGTTCTAACCTGCCATGGTTCACAGCCATCGCAGCTATCACTGCCTGGGTGAATGTGAAAGGGTAACACAGTCCTTCCAATTTTAAATTTATGTCTATGCTCAAGTACATAA